TTGCGTGCCAGGCAAGTTTTTGGCAGGATCGGGTCTCCACACAGCACGTGGCTCCCAGGAGTTGCAGGAGTGGATGAGACTTAATCGATGGAATAAAAGACAACAACAACAACAACCACAACAACAAAAACCTACGGATAAAAAGGAACTGTGGGGTGATCGGATAAAATTAAGAAAAATCTCAACGCACGCTAGTTGAAGATCCGTGGATGAAATCAGACTCCCAAGGCGGAGAGCGAGTGGAAACTGAGCGTGATGTACGTCACGTGAGGTCCGAAGCATCGATTCCCCTTTGGCAAAATGGTGAATGTCGCGCCAGCCTCTATTGGGTTGAGAGGGGGGAGGAGCGGGTCACGTGATCCCATTACATGCAACGCCTACGAAATAGAAAAATCATCGATTCGTACGCGTGCAATTGGACGCGTACGCATCTTTTGAGATTAAGGATAATCAATACTCCCGGATGCGTCATTAAAAAAAAAAAACACCCCCCCCCCCAGGTACAGGTAAAAGAGTGCAAAGGCGCAGCCCCCCAGCACAATTGCTTGGCTCTCACGCCCACTGCTGGCGGAAGCGGTCCCACACGAGAGGGCGCACCGGAGCGGCGTTCTTTGGGGCTACTCGCGTACGGTTGGCCGGTGCCCACGCATTACCACCCCTCCCCCCACCCGCACGTGACCTGCTTGCCCATCGGCTAACTGTGGCGTTTAAACTTTAATCTTGCCGGGTGGACAAGGGGTAGTAGGGAGGGGCGCGGGGGGGGGGGGTTCACGGAACTTTGTGTTTGGCTGCTGCTCTTAATGCCCACGTGGTGATAAGTCGCTTCGTTGAGCTGTCATTTGTGATGGCCAGGTCGCTTCTGAAATAGAGCTATGTAGCTCAGCGGGGCCTTACCTGGTAAACAAAATATATATATGGAATAAACTGCCGCAGCGAGAGATCGGTGACTTATGGATTGCAAGTCCAGCGCGCTGACAGTGACAACCGCGACAGCATCACAATCGATGCCCCAGTATCGACTACAAATAGATGGTCCTGAGTGACTGATGTATATTGTCACTTAAGTTTTAGAGCAATGATGGGAAACGCAGATGAGTTAGTGGGCCGCGTAAGCGTCCCTCCTTCACCTCGGTGGCTAGAAGATGTTAGCTACCTTGCCTGGTATGCAGTAAGCCGTCGGTTCGATCCCTACCGTGAAGCCTGCTGTATATTTTGAGTTTGCATGTTCTCCCCTTGGTCGTGTGGATTTTTCTCCGGGTCCTCCGGTTTTTCCCCTCCACATTTAGAAACACGCGCTTCGAGTATTTGGCTGCTATAAATGTCCACATGATGATAAGCCGCGGTGGCTAGATGTTAACTGCCTCGCCTGGTGTACAGGAGGTCGTGGGTTCGATCCCGACCCTGACGCCTGCTGCTGCTGTATATTTGGAGTTTGCGGCGTCTCTTTTCCCGTGGTCGCGCGGATTGTTCTCCGGGTCGTCCGGTTTTTCCCTCCACATTTAGAATCAACGTCACGCGTTTAGAGTATTTGGCTGCTGAAAATTTTAACATAAGCCACTTCGTTGAGCTATCGTTTGTGTGCCAGGTCGCCTCTGAAAAAGGGCTATATAGATCAGTGGGCCTTACCTGGTCAAATAAAACATTGTTTAGTTTAATGGTTTAATTTATATTATTCATAGTTTTAATAGTTTAGTTTCAGCAGGCCACAAGTTTGAAATCGTGCTTGTGCATTAATCGTGACCCCACGCAAAAGCCTAAATACACTTAAACCTGGCCACTGATGAATTTACATGAATGGACACTGATTTACAGAGCATCTCCATGCAATCACATCTCAAGATCCTGCGCAGAACAATGGAGCGAACACGGGCATCCTGGAGTCGAGGATGCTGCTTCATTTACTTACTCAGTAGAGAAAACGGGATGGTCAAGTGGCAGCGAAAAAATTCGTGAACCGCACTCTCATCTTCGTTAGCGGCAGTGTTGATGATGCAGGTTGTGGGTTGTATTTAAGGGAGCTACTGATGGGCTATGTGTTGCTAGGCCCAGGATATATGTCCATCCAGAATCAGTATTTATCCTGGAGAAATCCGATGAGCTCTGAAGCTCAAACAATCCTGCAACTCCGATTAGCACAGTTGGCTATGTACGTATGCGAAAGAAGTGCAACACACGTACAAAAAAAACCCGATAGGAGCGCAAGGAATAGGTAAGGTAAGCAAATCATCCATCTGTTCATTGCAGTCCAAAGACACCTGACATGTTTTCATGAAGTCGAAAAACAAAATCGAAATCAATCTACGCGAATCTCTATGAAACAACTTGGCCAGCTTGCCGTTAACAACGGCCACACGTTACTTAACCCCGTGGCAACAATTGTTCACGATGTCGGTTTTTTCTGACATTTAAAACGATCACAGTTACGGCTGGCGGATCAGCGCAATTACCGCACACGCGTGTTAGGGTTGCGTGTTAGGGTTGCGTGTTAGGGTTGCGTGTTAGGGTTGCGTGTTAGGGTTGCGTGTTAGGGTTGCGTGTTAGGATTGCGCGCGAGCCGGTGTAATGTGCACGAGTGTGTGCCACGTTGTTCCTTACTCACGTTCATTACGTAGACCCACGTTGTCCATTGCATAGACCCACATTGTTCATTACGTAGACCCACGTTGTTGATTACGTAGACCCACGTTGTTCATTATGTAGACCCACGTTGTTCATTACGTAGACCTCCATTGTTCATTACATAGACCCTCGTTCATTACATAGACCCACATTGTTCATTACGTAGACCCGCGTTGTTCATTACGTAGACCCACGTTGTTGATTACGTAGACCCACATTGTTCATTACATAGACCCACGTTGTTCATTACGTAGACCTCCATTGTTCATTACATAGACCCTCGTTCATTACATAGACCCACGTTATTCATTACATAGACCCACATTCTTCATTACGTAGACCCGCGTTGTTCATTACGTAGACCCACATTGTTCATTACGTAGACCCGCGTTGTTCATTACGTAGACCCACGTTGTTGATTACGTAGACCCGCATTGTTCATTACGTAGACCACATTGTTCATTACGTAGACCCACGTTGTTCATTACGTAGACCCACATTGTTCATTACATAGACTCACATTGTTCATTACATAGACCCACATTGTTCATTACGTAGACCCACGTTGTTGATTACGTAGACCCGCATTGTTCATTACGTAGACCCGCATTGTTCATTACGTAGACCCACATTGTTGATTACATAGACCCACATTGTTCATTACGTAGACCCACGTTGTTCATTACGTAGACCCACGTTGTTGATTACGTAGACCCACGTTGTTGATTACGTAGACCCGCATTGTTCATTACGTAGACCCACGTTGTTCAGTACGTAGACCCGCATTGTTGATTACGTAGACCCGCATTGTTCATTATGTACACCCACGTTGTTCATTACGTAGACCCGCGTTCATTACGTAGACCCGCGTTGTTGATTACGTAGACCAACGTTCGTCACGTGTGCTCCATGCAGCGGAATCACAGACTAAGCGAAGGCAGTGTTTATTGGATTGCCTTCGCCAGCTCCTTTAGATTTGTTCTTGCGCACCGCTGCCCACGCGATCGGTTAATTTTTCATTTTAATTTTTACACCACACAATGACGAGTTGCATGCCAAGAAGAAACATTCATTTTTATGAAATCATTTTTTTTCTTTTTAAACACAGCCGCTGCAGATTTGCGTGATATTTAATCAAGACTTTGTTTTTAAAAAAAATGTCAAGATTTTGTTGAGTTGATAAATGTATTGGCAGTGGTGGTGCTAATACTGCGCATGTGAGGGCGGAGATCAGTTAACCCGTACAGTATCTTGCGCAGCAATAGTGGCCAGTAGGTGTGCACGTAGGTTGTTCAACTTATTTCGCACCGTACGTAGCCAACTGCGCTAATCGGATGTGCAGCGGAAGGACATCAAACTAAACACAAAAAGCAGCTCTATGGGAATGAGTTTTCAATCTCGATTTAAAAGTGCATATTTCCCAGTGGCTTGCTAATATCGGAAGAGCATTCCGGACGGCCGCAGGAGCGCATCTGAATTGCCGCGCGATGCGGCGACCGTCTTTGTTCGATGGCTTAGCCAAAAGCCGCCGCGAGGATGACCGGAGTTTGCGCGACGATTTATGTTCCGTGACTAGATCAGCGAGGCATTTTGGTTCATTTGCGGCAAGCACTTTGCGTGCAATGAGTGCGACCTCACAACGTGCCCGTTCGTCGACCGGAAGCCAAACGCAGCTCGGCGAGCACTGGATGGGCACGGTCGGATCTGTACATAGGTGGGATGACCATAATCCCATGCCCCTCGATCTGCCGTCCTAGGCCTTGAGTGCGTTCGAGTCGGCGCCTCTTCAACGGCAAAGCCACGCAAACTCTCTCCTGAAGCCCTCTTGTCATGGCCAGCAGCAGCAGCAGCAAACCTAGTAGAGTATCGCCACACACAGCCACAGAATTGCCCTCCGTAGCTTCTGCAACTCAACGCAATGTGCCAGCAGCATTGAACATTTTTTTTTACTTTCAATTGGGAGTTAATTTAGAAAAATACGTTTCGATTCTTGAATGGTTCGTCTGTTACTTAATATCCACTCTGAGGGAACTGTTTATATGCCCGGTGGAATAAGAGCCTCCAACTCTTACGAGCCACCTCTGGCCTTTTCGATGTGCCATGAAGATGGCCCATTGGCCCGAAAACGTTGCCTACACATTTTTTTTTTCAGGCAACGGTGGTATTGTTGCGTGTGGCCGACACACCGTTGTACTTTCACGTGGGGTCAGGTGCGGAGATTCTTCTCACGTGGCTCAAGAAGGACTCGACTGTGCACCGGCGGACTCCTAACATCCCGCTGGCCAGGGCCCCCCCATCCCCCCCCGATCGTCACTCTTGACTCAGCGTGCTGCACTCTGCCCCCCCCCCCCCCCCCCCGTGTGCTCCTGTTGTCATTGCAGTGCTGAGCATCGGTGAGGGAGGCTTCTGGGAGGGGACGGTGAAGGGACGCACCGGCTGGTTCCCCGCCGACTGCGTGGAGGAGATCCCCATCCGGCACGAGTCTCTGCAAGGTACGGACGCTCGGGGGAGAGGGGGGGGGAGGCGCCCGCCGCCTCTCACGCCCGCGCTGGTTGAGTCGGCGATGCGCACACGAAGGCAAAGATCCCCAGTATAAGCCTGTGACGGACTGCTGGGGCAAGGGCTGTTAGCGAGTAGCACCTACGAAAGCCGACACGGCACACAACAACGGGGTGGGTGGACAACACGACGCACGGCTGCCTTCGTCTCCCCGGTGGCGATGTTTTTACACACCGCACCCAGCTACCCATTTGAGACATAGTTGACCTAGGGGAGAGGCGCAGGACCGGGAATCGAACTCGGGGCATAGCCGGGTTTGTAGCGCAGCGCGCTAACCGCTACATTACCACACACACACGCATGCGCACAAACGCAATGCACAGGGGCTGTTTGGTGTAAATGATGGCTTTGGTATTGCATTCCCCTGGCGCAGAGAGATGGAGAGAGAAGGAGAAAATGATGGGATAAGAATAGGCTTTACCCTTTTTGGGCAGTAAAACAGTAGGCTATTTGGATGTTCAAGTAACAAATAGACACACCTATCGCAAGGCATCGAGTCTGCCACTTCCACGTTTGCCTGCACGGTTGAGACCAAGAGGCCCCTTGTGGCGACCGCCGGTGACGACGCTACATTTCGCCATCGCTTCTTCTGCCAATTCTTACCTTATTGCCTTACCTCATATTCACGGAGCGCCTTAGCTCAAGCCGCGCTTTACACAACGTTTAAAGAGCATCAACAGAAACCAAGAGGCTTCGACGGACGGCAGGGCACAGCGCAAGGGCCGAAGAATGAGCGACCGTAACAGAGGGCACGTGGGGGTCAGGAAAGGGCTATAGGGGAGGGACGGGAAGGAGTGGAGGGGCGAGGGGAGCAAAGCGGAAGGGAACGGGCGATGGAGACCGTTTCCCCCCGATGTCTACTCCAACGGCAGCGTCTCACCGTCCTGTGGCTTTCGGGTGACCCTCTTGGGTCGCCGCCGACCTACGGACGGCGGCTCCAACGACTTTTCCGATAACCTCCCCTTCCTCCGTCCTGCACGCGTGCCCCCGCCGTGCATCGCAACGATCTGATCCCGATGATATCCACAACACAGTATGCATGCCGCATTTCATCACGAAACTTGCTCACCCCATCCCGCCACAGAATTCCTCGCACCTTTGCCGCAGACGTTGCCCACGTGTTGTTCAACCGCCAGTGTCTCACCCACTTTCCGTCGGCTTTGCGGAGGTACCAGCTCTCCGATCCGCAGAGTAGCGCAGATATCAATCCTGCCTCGTGCTTTCCCGATCTCTTCACGCCAAGGCAGACTTTTGTAACTCTTCCCCAAGTGTCTTAACGTGAAGTGGGTCAGAACTTTTTTGGGCAAACTGGGAACAAGAAAGTGGGCATTATATCCAGGTGGGCTGCTGCTGCTGCTGCTACTTCTGATGGAGTGGGGGCTGCCTTTGGGTGGGACAGACTTCAATGTCAACTTCAATCAAACGGAAGTCGATTGCAGTTTAGAGGATAGTGGATGGAGAACGCACGAGGCGGTGGCGGGGCTGGGACACGGCGTGATGACGCGAGGGTTCGGGGCGGGGATGGGGGGCGGTAGGGTGGGGGGGGGTGATGGAGTTTGAGTGGCTGGGAAGGAGGGAGTGGGAGGGGGGGTGGGTGATGGATGGAGGGAAGAAGGGAGGGAGGGGGGCAAAAAAATATATTGTCCACTTAATTATTGATTTCGGTGACTTGCTTACCTTTCCTATACCTTTCACTCCTATCGATGTTGATGTTGTTTGTTGTTGTTGTAACTTTGTGACCCGCCCCTACTGGACAGCTACAAAATAAAAAAATATATCTTAATAGCTACAAAAAAAGAGGGAGGGGGGCAGAGAAGGAAGGAGGGAGGGAGGGAAGGAGAGCAGAGCGTGAAATCTTTTGTGAAATCTTTCATTTAAAAAGGGGGTGGGGGGGGGGGTTAAAATAAAGCAAAGCATTAAAAAACTACAAAAACTAAATGATGAACGATGCAAAGTGCCGACTACACCGAGCATCTTCTTGTTTCCTCTGATCGTAAAAAAGGATGGAGGAAGGGAGGAAGAGAGGGAGGGAGGGAAGGATGTAGAGAAGGAGGAAAGAGGGGAGGGAGGATGAGAGGGAGGGAGGCGTCACGAGGGAGCAGCACACGCGTGTGGCGTGGAAACGAAGTGCTCATCTCCCCCCCCCGCCCCCCACGTCCCTCCATGGCTCCACTGGATAACTGCTGCAGCCACACTCCTCGTTAGGTCTGCAACGATGCATGAGTTCGTTGGGCTAAAAATCGATCGCTACGCTTGAGACGCACGTCATCAAATTGTGCGTCTGTGTGCATAAGAATCCGTTATTTAAGATTAATTTACTTTTTTTTGTTGCAAATGTTATCTTCAGGCTAATGGAACTAACACGACGGAACGAAAGGGGGGCAGAACTCACAAGGCAGACAAAATCACAAGCGAGATGGAAAAATCTAATTGATTTTCGCCCAGAAATGTTGACGGTTCATGAATTTACAGGGACGTTGAGCCGGAATCAAAATCTTTGCTTAGACTGGAGGTACAAAGCTCTTTTTCACAGATGCCCATGTTAAAGTCTGCCAAGCGCGAGTTCGCTTTTCTTACAGAGGTATTCGTCGCGGGCGTAGAAATGGAACTATTGCATAAAAAATACCCAAATCGCGCGTTGTGTTTACCCTGACATTTTGCAGCGTTATTTTTACGCGTCACATTTTAAACAATTGAACAAACGCGGCCCATCAATGGTCACCGTCGCTGGCCTCGTCTCCAACTAACCTCGTGACCTTTCCTGACGTCACGGACGTCCAATAGTTCACGAACCGTATGGGAGCCTCGAGATGGAACCACGTTCCCCCTCGTCCTTCGATCACCTCGAGTGGCTCTCCCCACCCCCCCCCCCCCACTCACCGCTCCCTCTACTCTACCTCACACGCTCTCCACTCCTGCAACCCAAGGGCTTGCTGATGAAACTTTCCAGCCAGCCTGCCCTCAAGGGAAGGTCACTCCCCCTCTGTTCTCCCAGGAAATCTCTTCCACTGGCCATCCGCACCGCTGAGAGTTTCGCCGCGGTGGCTAGGAGATGTTAACTACCTCGCCTGCTATACAGGGGGTCGTGGGTTTGATCCCGACCCTGACTCCTATTGTATATTTAGAGTTTGTGTGTCGCTCTCTCTCTCCCCATGGTCGCGTGGATTTTTTTTCCTCCGGGTCCTCCGTTTTTTTCTCCAAATTTAGAATTAACGTCACACTTTTAGCGTATTTCGCCGCTATAAATGTCCACGTGATGAGCCACTTTTGTTGAGCTCTCATTTGTGATGGCCAAGTCGCTTCTGAAAAAGAGCTGTAGAGCTCAGCGGGCCTTACCTGGTAAAATAAAAAATAGTTAATAGTTTAATTTTTAATTTAAAGCTTTCGTGACCGCAGTAATTCATATTCTTAGCTCTTTCGGTAAAGTCACGTTGAAGGGAAACAATAAAATATATATAAAACAATAAAAAAATCCCATAACACAAACGGTCGTCATCAGGTGTGATGACGACCGTTTGTGTTATGGTCGAAACGTCGTGATAATTTTTTTATTGTTTTATATATATTTTATTATTTTATTGTTTCCCTTCAACGTGACTTTACCGAAAGAGCTAAGAATAGTTAATAGTTTAATAGTTTTTTGTTGTTGTTGAGATTCAGACTCAATGCTGTCTTTCTCTTCTCCTCAATGGCAGAGTGCCTCCCTTCTGGTTCAATATTTGTGTTTGGGGTTTCGGCCACGTGGCCGTAGTTTTGTGTCAAAATTATTCCCCTGAACCCTCCACCACCCGACGAGATTGTCACTTTCATAAAGATATTATTACGATTTCATACACGGCCAGAATATCGATCAAATTCTGACCGATAAAGCTCCCCTCTCCCACCGGCGGTGGGCTTCAGGCTTTTCCACGACCGAATTCATCATCGGCACGCCACGACGTCTTCCTTCGGACTGCTTTGAGCTTCACCAGGCCGTGAACTTGGGGGGGGGGGGGGGGGGGCCCGGGGGGGGGGGGGGGGGCCCCGCTCCCAAATTTCGACCTTCGTCGCCTAACGACGCTCAATAGCGCCGCTACGTTGAGGATTAATGGAACTACCACGATTCCTGACCCCAAAAACAAACATGGGGTGTGGGGGGGGTCATTGGATTGGCTACGAAGAACGTGCGTTTTGAGACCGAGTATATATTTCTCTCTCTCGATGAAGTGTCCCCAATAACCTCAACTTTGTAATGCCATTTTCCCCTCGATCTCCCCCTGTGCCCTGTGGCATCCGTCTCTTTTCACTTCCCCTCTGACAATGGCCCAAGAGGAGGCATTACTCTTCCCCTATCTCCTAAAGACACCGTGCGTTGCCCTGTTTGTACTGAATCTTGAGACGCGGTCCAATTTAGATGCTAATGAAATCGGAACCGCCCCGTGTTTATTTGTGCGCGCGGCTCTCGTGATGGCACGTGCGGTAGGCACGAGCGTGCAGTTGACCGATTGACTGCAGGGCCAGGCGCTGCCGTCACATCCTCAGAGTGACAAATGCAAAGTTTCCGCCCAATTGAATGCTAGGGTGATGCTCATCTCCTTTGGCAGTCCTGAATGAGCCAGTGGTGTGAATCCCACATTGCGTTGAAGTGTTGGTCAAACAACCCCCCCCACCACGCACCTGTAAATGGTGTATGTCACGTGATGCGACGTGTTATCTGCGCGACGTGAAATCACTAGCGTTTGACTTGGATTTGGAGCAGTTTGTAGCCGATGCCAGGGCTGTTTCTCTACGACTTTTTTATTTATTCCACTGAAAATCGCACCCTGCGAATGCGACACGGGCAAATGTCGTCTCGCAGTGTTGCCACCAAAGCCAGGGGGCACCATTGTGGATAGTGTGAAGATGACTCGGAGATTGTGAATGGATTAAAGTTTATTGGGATTTCCCGGTGGGT